ACTAATATGTTTAATATTTGGTCCCCAGTTGTTTGAACTGTTTGGGAAGAATTAAGAGGTATAGTCCTATTGGAAAAGTATCACTGGGGGACAGGATCTGAGGTTTCAAAACCCAAGCCATTCCTAGTTATACCACTCTGCCTCTTACTTGTGGATCAAGATGTAAGCTCTCAGAGACTGCTCCAGCACTATGCCTGCCTGCTTGCTCTCCCCTATGAACTCTAACCTCCTGAAACTCCAATACTCCAGTAAACTCTCTGTTCTATTAGTTGCATCAGACATAATGTCTTATCAGAGTCCTAGAAAAATAATTAAGACATGAATAGCTAAATAAATTCTCAATTAGCAACATAGTTTTCACAAAAGTGTTCCTAAAATGTGCTTGGATTGAAGAAATCTCTATCTATCTATCTATCTATCTATCTATCTATCTATCTATCATCTACTATCACCTATCTATATAGATAACTATCTCTCTTCAAATATCTATGAAAGACAGATATAGATACAGACTTCTGTATATATGTATATATATACAGAAGTTGGTTACTATATACAATAGCTAGTTTTATGGCAACACAAAACAAGCTAGAGGGTCATTGGAAAAGAGGGAGCTTCAACTTCCTTAAGATCAGACTGTAAAGAAGCCTGCAGGGCATTTTATTAATTAGTGAGTGTCTATATGCCTGTTCCTGGGCTGGTGGTCCTGAGTTGTACAAAAATGAGTTAACAGACTTTGATGATCCCTCTTGGAAGGTCTCACCCTCTCTGGGAAGTAGGCGGGGAATGGGATTGGGGGAGGGAGTCTGGGGGTAAAGGGAGGATGGGAGGGAGATGAAACTTGGATCAATATGTAACATTAGAGAAAAAGATATTCAATTAAAAAAAGAAAAAGAAGGCATGATGAATAAGGCATAAAGAGCAGGCCAGTAGTAGCACTCTTCCACCCTCCATCTCCTCTATTTAAGTTCCTGCCTCCTGGCTCATACCCTGGCTCACTTCTTGCCCTGACTTTCTTCAAGGTAGCCAAAATAACCCTTTCATTTTTTAATTAATTAATTTATTTATTTTTTGGTCCATAATGTTTTCACCATATCAATAATAACACTAACTAGGACACTGAATATTCATTATTCATGCCCTTTGAAAGAACAAAACCACTAGGGTGAACATATGTTATGAAGATTACTAGATGTGCTTGCCAATTAGGGCCAACAATGGTCTTCTTCACTCTGACAAGTCTGCAAACCCAATAGCTGCTACATCCACCTGACTGGTTAGAGTTCAATTTTGTGGTGAAGGGAAGTTTTCTGAAGAATTGTGGGTTTTGTACTAATGTCAGAAGACCAAAGAAACTAGGTACTTATGTTAGTGAAGGCCTCCATCAGTAGATGTATCAAGGTGGACACAACAGGGTGGACACATTCACTTCTTAGGAGCAAGAATAGCCACCCAAAAAATTAGCACCTTTCCCTTGGATCTATGTGGAAGTCACTGCCCTCTAGAGGAAGGTGTTCTGCTTCTGTTGTTCTTTTCTGGACACAACCTTACAGACTTCTGCAAAAGTGTGTACCTTATTGGACTACAGATCCTATCCAGTTGACAACCAAGGTAACCACCATAGCTACCCACATTTACAGAGCTACAGGAAATAAGCATATCACTATGGTCAAGCATCTTATATTACCCAGAGAAGAATGAACCTGTGTAATTAGTTAAAAACCAGACTCAGAAATTCTTGTTTTATTTTAAGGAAATTCAACTGTACATCTTCTCATATATTCCTTACTTTTTTATTCACTTCATTTTTTCTTTATCAAAAAGCAAAACAAAACAAAGACAAAATAGAACAGGGGTCATGAGGAAAAAACAAAGGTGTGTCGTGATATTTCATCTGACACTACACGTGCAGCATGATGACTGGGCACAAAGCACAGTACATGGTGAATACCAAAGTCTTATATTTTCAGAATGCCAATTCTCGTCCTCATTTGGAATACATTATAAAACCACTAAAAATAGTAGCCACAGAAGCTTGGCTGCTATTATTATACTTGAACTTTAAACTGATAGAGTATGGGAATTTTTATTTACATAAAGCAGTGACTACAATGTCAAGTATTTCTTATATACAAAAAAGTTCCCTTAATTTCACTATATTGAAAATAGATGTGGACATTTTTTTTCTGAAAATGATAATGACTTGATCTGTGACAGAAACAAATGCCTGAAATCTATTACATAGATTTAATTTTCATCTCACTACATTGTATCCCATGAACATTTCTATCTAGTCTTTAATTAAACATGATTTGCACAAATTGAGGTCAGTTTTCATTTAGACTGCTGGCAGTGTTAATTATAGTGCAAATAGCCATCATCAGTGAAAGAGCTGCATTACACTAATGCATAAATGTTTCTGTGTAACTGCTGTCTGCTCTTTAGTGCCACATGTTACTGGGTAAGTACACATGGGATGACTTGCTAAATTTTCTATTGTATTAAGTATATAATTCATTTAATGTTCTTACGAATTTCTATTTAAAGAATTTTGTTTTTCAAAAACTTGGAAAGTAAGTATACATTTAAGTGCTAAGCATATCCTTTGTTATCATAATTGTCATCTGTCTATAAAACATTTTAAGTTCAGCAGGTGTAACTATCCATTTAAATATCTGGATAATGGTGTTGACTTGCTTTGGAAGAATCACATAACCTAGATCAGATGGTGAAAATTCCATTCCTCTGAAATTAAAGCACCAGCAGTGTTTGATTGAGCTGCTTCAGGGTATTTGAAACTTAAAATGAAAATATTCAAAGTCTTCTACTCAAAAGTGAAATTATATGTTACAACTATTAATGTCAAGCCTGAAATTGTTCCCCACTGTAGTAGTTCTGTTTATTTCTCAAGTCGACAGCAGAAAGGTTTCATTGGCACCATCTAAATAGGGTAAGAGGAACTTGGCCTGGCTTGGTCTAAGCCTTCAGTGCTAAAACATGGTCAAATTAGGTCAGGTGGCACAAGTGGTCCTTATTATCTGTTCCCATCCATGTTATTTCAGAATCGGGAAACCCAGACTCCCTTCAAATGGAGAAGGCTTGTGAACATGAATACAATTTCATATCTTCAGAATTGTGACTTTCGTGGTCTTTTACTTGGAAATTCCATCTATATCTTGTCCTCATTTACATGAATTAAGCTGTACCCTCAAATCCAAAATCAAATTATATTTTTATTTGGTCTTCTTCAGACATAAATATGCAGTTTTATCTAAATTTCTGTATATAAGGAAATAACAATTTCTATATTACTTCATAAGACAAATGACACGATCGATCTTAGAATGAAAGCTTCAATTTATCAGTCATTGATATAAATTCATCAAGGATCCATTTCAGTAGATATGATACAGAGAAAGACATATTGGGCAGAGTGGCCAAAGCTAATCGCCAAAAACTGAACTTAAAACAAAATGAATGGTATAGTGATTTCCATCATTCTAAAAATAATTAAAATTGGGATCACACCAAAAAGCTGAGAATTTCATCAGATATCAAAAACAAAGAAAACACAATGGAAAGATGGTTCACGGATTCAGTGTGTTTGTTAATCTTTCAGAAAAATATAACACTGTTTCTAGGATCCACATAAGCTGGCTCACAACTGCTTGTAACTTCAGCAATTCCATAACCCTCTCCTAGCTGACAACCACACTAAACTCAAATGCATGTGTGCAAACATGCATAAACATGGATACAACATGTAGCAAGCTTATTTGGAGGCTGACAGTTCAATCAACCAGTCAGTCAATCAAAACCTGACACACTTCTTTCATTGTTTATTTGTTTTTAGAGATGGGTTTCTCTGTGTAACAGCTCTAGCATTCCTGGAACTAGCTCTATAGACTAGGCTGGCCTCAAATTTAGAGTTCCACTTGCCTCTGCCTCTCTGGTGCTGGGATTAAAGGCAAGTGCTATCACCAGCTTAGGCTTGTTTCTAACTAGCTCTAACTAGCTCTTATAACTTAAATTAACCCATTTCTATTCATCTACATGTTGCCACATTACTTGTGTCTTTCACCTCTCCTTCTGCATACCTGTTCCTTCTAGTCTTGCTGGTGACTTTACCTTTCTTCTCCCTGGACCTCACTCTCTCCAGAAGTCCTGGCTATACTTCCTGCCTAGCTATTGACTATTTAGATTTTTATTAAACCCAACATAGTGACATATCTTTACACAGTGTAGTCAAATATCTCACAACACAGACATGCAGACAGATATATACAGATAAAGAAAAAGTTAAATTCATTTTAAATATTCACATTAATTTTTCTGTTTTCCAAAGCTAGCATGGAGATGAGTGTAAATCACCGAATGGTTTCTATTTGCATGTTTTTATATCATGTGTAATAGTGGTATAGCAAAGGTAAGTCCCTCTAGTCACCCTAACTTTGGAAACTCATGAATAAAATTAGGAAGTGATCATCATTTACACTTATTATATTTTACATGTAATGAGCTTTAGCTATTAACTCTAATTTGCTTCCCATCAAAGGCAAACTATTTAGATACTAAAACTCTCTGTCAGATAGAATTTTAATGAATTAAGATGAAATGAGACAGTGTTAATTGGCAGTTATTGCTGCTAGATAGATTTGAGATCTTGTAAAAGAAACCAATTCATCTCTCCATCAGGGTTAATTTCTGTGATTTAATTCTAAAGATTCACCAAATATTTCCCCAAACTACTCCTATTTCTTTTCAAAATTGTAGAATTGCTTAAGTCTATTGGCCTTTCATATGGATTCTCAATTCTATTTGAAGTTAACTTAATTTTTTTAAGTAAAATGTTGGCTTAAGCAGTGTTTGTGTTATTGAAAGTTGTGCACATAAACTCAAAGAAGTAACATTATATTACTTGTATTTTAGACTTGTACCTATATTTTTCTAACATCCATTCATTTGTGTCAATACTTCTTTTTTTGTGCTTTTTGCCTCAGATATAAATGAATGTGAAGCTGAACCTTGCAGAAACGGTGGAATATGTACAGACCTCGTTGCTAACTATTCCTGTGAATGCCCAGGGGAATATATGGGAAGAAATTGTCAACATAGTAAGTGTTATTTTGTAAATACATTTGTACACACATGTTTTCACTTTTATGGACCTAAATCAGTATCATCTGCTTTGATAATGCATGACTGATTGAAGTGGCTCATTGAATATGTGTTCTTATTTCTACACATACATTCTGAGGGTATTATTCAGTCCACAGACATGAATAATCTGAGAAGAAAGACAGCATCCCATCAGATAACCAGGCTTATTTCTATATCGGTGCCATTTCACATGTCAATATGCATAACAATGAAACTTAAGCCAACAAAGGAAGATACTTTGGATTGGAAAACTAATGGGAACAAACAAACTCACTTGCAGTTAATATGTGGAGATAAAACAATGCATTTCAGCTGGCATCTACATCAGCAAGGATATTACATGCAAATCCTTGTCTTCTTGGAACTCATTACAGTAGCGTTCTGATATTATGGATTTAATGGCACACTAACTATTCACTCAAAATGGTAAAAAAGGAGGGAAAAATTATTCCTCAACAATTTAGTTTATAATTAAAGGTGGGAAGAGTGACAGGACTATAATCAATGAAATGGGATCTACCTTGAGGCAAACTCATGTTAGTGATAACACTAATAACAGCATTTTGTAATTTTAGGGCATTAAGGAAACTTAATAAGGTATTGATTTTATGATATTATGCCTTATGATTAATATCATAACTTAATGAAAATACATAATAATTATGAAGATTGACATTCAGATATAGAAACTGAGACTGGTATTTGATATGTTTTCCAATCCTCATAATGTAAGTGGCAGGATCCAGTCTCTGACTTCTCAGTTATCTAAGTTCCTCTGAACAGAAGGTCCTCCTATCTACAAAATTCTTGTGAATAAACATACAGTATTAGTGCCTGTTGCCTTTCTCTGTCTTGCAATGAATTTATATAAACAAATTTAAATGAGAATGGTAAAGCAGAACTTCAGAAATAAGAATGATAAAGTAGAACTTGTTTCTGTTTAGCAACTGTTTCTATACAGGCACATCTTGATTATTTTACATCATTTATATTTCATTCATTTCAAATAACCTAACAGGAACATTGGAATGTTACTATTGAGTAACTACTACTAACAAGACTTGAACATAAATGCAAAGTTAAGAGTGTGAATAAGTGTTGAGTAACAAAAAAAAAAAAAAAAAAAAAAAAAAGGTACAGTACATGCTTTCCACATGTGGGTGGAGGTAGGTGTCTTGGTTTTACTATCAGCTTTGAAGAACTGGTTTTATCTCCTATTGCTTAGGTGAACTGACTTTGTAAAGTCTAATTAAAACAAATAAACAAACAGAAACAACAATGAAAGAGCTTGTTTAAACTTTCTATGGTTTTCCCTCCTTTTATGTATCACTTTCTTTTTAGGCTTTCTGTATGTTAAAGCAGATTTGATAATACAATTAAATGAAACATTTGAATCGTTGTGACATAGTACATTTAAATGTAAAAATATTTATTCATTTAGTTAAGCAAAATCAAGATGTTTAAGTGCAAAGTTAATAAATATAAAACCAAATATATGAATTATGTATCATAAAGTATGGCTCATTTAGTGTAGCTGAATGTACTATTGCTTAATGAGAAACAAATGAATATCTTATCTTTTATGATTTGATGTACAGGTATTAAGTTATCATCTTGCAAATTACATTTTTTAAAGTTTGAACAATATAATTATTTCAAATATTTAGATTGAACTCTTCTCTGGGGTTTATGTATGTATGTATCACACCCTTAATCCTAAAATGAAGAATGTAAAGGCAGAAAATTCCTGAAAATTCAAGGTTACATGATCTACACAGTAAATTCTAGCCTTGTCAAGACTAGATAGCAAAATCCTTTCTTATCAACTCCTTCCCACAATAAAAAGCAACACTCAGCATTTGACATGAAAATGCCTACCAGGTGTTAGGATTGTTTAACAGTATTTCCCAATATATCACTAGCAGTTGTTTATTAATTATATCTATAGTTGGGTTAAGGCAAAAAAAAATCATTTCATGTTAGATTTTTGGATAGTTCATAAAACATGCTTGCTTTAACATGTATTATTTTCCACTTCTTTATTGTAAGATAGATTAAAGTTCATTGTTCTTTATTTTTAAAGAAATTACTTTTGATTGACATCAATACCATTAGGTGTTCTTATATTTATTACAGTATCACAAAAATTCCACTAATTAAAGTCTTTGTGTAGACTCCCTTGATTATTTTAAATGACAGGCTCAGGAGCTGATGAGGCCATTTTCATAAATGGAGAAAAGTGATGATGTGCTGCAATGATAAACCCATCTTTATGAGAACAGATAGGTTTTGTCATGTGTGTTTAACTGGATGTGATATTTAAACCAGAATGGAGCAATGAAAATTGAGAACATATTAGTTAACTAATCTAAAAATAACTGGACTTGATTTCATTTGCTTGGATTTGTAGCTCACAACAACCATGTGCATTTCCCCCTTGACTGTTTAAATATGACATGATTAAATTTCAGGAATGACACTCAAATGAATTTTCATCTCTGGCACTATTTGTGGAAATTAAAGTAGTTACCAATGGAGCTCTTATAATGCATAACTCCTGAACATTTTGCCAAAAAAAACCTTAAAACTCAAATGATTCTGGGGGTACTTATTAAAAACAAACACTAAACTCTCCAATAGAAATTAAGGTGATGCTTAAAAATGTCAAATTGATTTAGCTTTTCAAATGAACAAATGGTGTAGGTAATTCTGTCAACCTTTACTCTAAAAATTCTACCTATGATTATAACAAAAGATTATTTATGTGGACATATTTTGAAAATTTAAAATTACACTTATTTGTCTCCATTTTAAGCAGCCATCACTGGAACTTTTGCTACCAAAGGAAATAATGTTTGTAAATACCACAACACATATAAATATCTATTTTTTCCTTGTGCATGTGTGTACTTGCCTTTTTTGCAACAAGAGTGTATGAGCATGGGCAGATACCTTTCTGTTAACACAGGCTTACTCAGTAGAAACTATTCAAACATTTTATGAATACATGTGAAAGATATGTCACACCCTTAACACTTGATGGATGACCATGTGAAGATAAATTTTAATGACAAATATTTTAATGAACTTTATCTTTTTATCATTGGTCATTTAATAATATTGATTTTAATTTCAGGTAGCATTGTGTGTCAAACACTCTTGGAAGTAATTTAGAAACTGACTTGCTTAATCCTCCCAGCAACATTTGAAACAGGTTTTATCTCTTTCTAGTTCCACGTTGCAGAGAAAATTAAGCTAGTGAGTGATTAAGTAATTTCCTTAGGTATGCATGCATAGAAAACTACGTGTCCTGAATCCCAGCTAACTGAGCTACATAACCTTGCAACCCTGCATATGCTATTTATTATCTTGATACTTGTGGAACAAGGGAATGATTTTGTTACACCACATACTTCGAAGTGACTGCATTTGAGGAGTGGCATTAAGAGTGGTGGCAATACTGGAGGAAAGGACACAGGCTTTGCATTCAAACTGGGATTCAAATTCTCACTCCTGCTCTTCCTTTTTATATGCTATGAGGAAGTTAATTACTCCTTTTAAACCTCAACTTTCTACTGCTAGACAGTACATTAGTAGCATATACCAATTATTTTGCAAGAAACCTATATTAACAAATACTATAAACAATGTCACAAGAATTTTTAGTTATTACAAATGATACTAATGAAAACTCATGATATCTTTAAATATCTCTGCTTTAACTATTTAACTTGAATTTTTACCACATGCACATATCAACCACATTTAATAACTGAGTATATGGGATTGAGAACAATATTTATAGAAGGCAAGAAGAGTACCTCAGACGAATTGATTTTAAGGACTATGAAGTAAGACAATCTTAACACATCACCATGTTTACAAGGACAACTGCTTTTTTTAAATAAAATTTTATTTAAATTAAAAATAATCTTATTTTGCATACAAATCCCAGTTCCCTCTCCCTCCCACTCTTCCATACCACCCACCAACAAGCCATCCCATCCCCCATCCACTCCCTAGGAATGGTGAGTCCTCCCATGGGAGATCATCAAAGTCTGTCACATCATTTGGAGCAAGACCTAGGCCGTCCACCACATATCTAGGCTGAGAGAGTATTCATCCATAAGGAATGGGCTCCCAAAGCCCATTCATGTACTCAGGATATATACTTGTTCCACTGCCAGAGGCCCCACAGACTGTCCAGGACTCCCAACTGACACCCATGTTCAGGGGGATTTGTTTGGTCCTATGTTGGTTCCACAGCTGTCACACTGGGGTCTCTGAACTCGCACTTGGCCAGGTCAGCTGTTTCTGTGGGTTTCCCCAGAATGGTCTTGACCCCTTTGCTCATCACTCCTCCCTCTCTACAACTGGATTTCAGGAGTTCTGCTCAGTGCTTAGCTGTGGGTGTCTGCTTCTGCTTCCATCAGCTACTGGATGAAGGCTCTATGATAGCCTTTAAAGTAGTTATTAACCTTGTTATAGGGGAAGGGCATTTAAGACAGCCTCTTCACTATTGCTTAGATTCTTAGTTGGGGTTATCTTTGTGAATCCCTGGCTATGTCCCTAGTGCCAGATTTCTCTTTAAACTTATAAAGGATCCCTCTGCCAAGGTATCTCTTTCCTTGTCCTCTTTCCCTGTTCTTCCCCCAACTCAAACTTCCTAATTTCTCAAGTTCTTCTCCATCCTCTCCCTCTCCCCTGCCATACCCCTCTCTTCACTCACCTTACCCCTTCCCCACTCACCCTGTGCTCCTAATTTGCTCAGGAGATATTGTCTCTTTCCCCTTCTCTGGGGAACTATGTATGTCTCCTGTAGGATCTTCCTTTTCACCTAGCTTCTCTGTAGGTGTGGACTATAGGCAGGTAATCCTTTGATCTTTGTCTAATATCCACTTATGAGTGAGTACATACCATGTTTGTCTTTCTGTGTCCAGGGTACCTCATTCAG